CACCTTCATCAACAAGGTACAGTTCCTGGAGCAGCAGAACAAGATGCTAGGGACCAAGTGGAGCCTCCTATAGCAGCAGAAGATAGCTTAGAGCAAGATGGACTACATGTTTGAGAGTGACTTCAACAACCTTCCGCTGCAGCTGGACACTCTGGACCAGGAGAAGCTGAAGCTGGAGGCAGAGCTTGGCAACACACCTGGGCTGGTAGAGGACTTCAAGAATAAGTACAAGGATGAGATCAATCAGAGTACAGAGATGGAGAATGAATTTGTCCTCATCATGAAGGATGTGGACGAAGCTCACCTGAAGAAGGTAGAGCTGATGAGATCACCTTCCTCATGCAGCTTTGTGAAGAGATCTGGGAGCTGGAGTCTCAGATCTCAGACATATCTATGGTGCTGTCCATGGACAACAGCTGCCCCCTGGACATGGTCAGCATGATTGTTGAGGTCAAGGCCCAGTATGAGGAGATTGTCAACCATAGCCAGGCCAAGACTGACAGCATGTACCAGATCAAGTATGAGAAGCTACAGGTACTAGCCTGAAAGCACGGAGGTGACCTGCATTGTACAAAGACTGAGATCTCCAAGATGATCCGGAACATCGGCTGGCTCCACGCTGAGATTGAGGGCCTCAAAGTCCAGCCCCCTGTGAGGGCTTCCCTGGAGGCCACCATCAAAGATGCCAAGGAGCACTGGGAGCTGGCTCTTAAGGATGTCAATGCCAAGCTGAGCTGTCTGAGCTGGGGGCTGCCCTGCAGTGGACCAAGAAGGACATGGTGCAGCAGCTGCACGAGCACCAGGAGCCAGTGAACATCAAGCTGGCTCTGGATATTGAGACTGCCACCTGTAGGAAGCTGCTGGAGGGCGAGGAGAGCTGACTGGAGTCTGGGATGCAGAACATGAGCATCCGTATAAAGACCACCAGTGGCTATGCAGGTGGGCTGAGCTTGGCCTACAGGGACTTCACAAGCCCTGGCCCCAGCTATGGCCTAGGCTCCAGCTCCTTCAGCTGCACCAGCTCCTCTGGGGCCATGGCTGTGAAGATGATCAAGACCCGTGATGGGAAGCTGGTGTCCAAGTCCTCCGATGTCCTGCCCAAGTCCCCTCCCAGCCTACCCACCCTGGGGCTTCCCCAGAGCCTGTGGGGGAGGCCCTGTGCAGAGGAGCACAGGGAACAGGAGACCTACGTGGATTAGTCCATTTTCACACTGCTGATAAAGACATAGCCAAGACTGCAAAGAGAAAGAGGTTTAAAGGACTTACAGTTCCACACAGCTGGGGAGTCTTCACAATCATGGTAGAAGGCAAGGAGGAGCAAGTCACTTCTTACATGGATGGCAGCAGGCAAAGAGTGCTTATACAGGGAAACTCCCCCTTTTAAAGCCATCAGATCTCCTGAGACTTATTCAGTATCATGAGAACAACAGGGAGAAAGACCTGCTCCCATAATTCAATCACCTCCCACCAGGTCTCTCCCACAACCTGTGTGAATTCAAGATGAGATTTGGGTGGGGACACAGCCAAACCGTATCACCACCTGAGGCTCAGCTCTAGCCCTTAGCCCACCTGTGGGGAGGGTTTACTGCCTGGGGTACCCCCCTTGCCCATGTCTCCAGCTATAAAACAATTCTATTGCTTTTTTCCAAAATAAAACCTCAACTAGCTCTGCCAACTGTATATATATATGTAATATCTGTGTGTTATAGATATTACATACATATGTAAGACCGAGACTGGCAGTGCCTAGAAGACATTCCAAAAATAAAATGAGCTTAGAAGAAGCTTAGAGCCAAGGAATCACTATTTCAAATTAAGGGGAAAACAATGATAAAGTTTATTCTGTGATAGTCATCCTCCTTTATCACCGCACTTCATCAAACTTCTGATGGAAGTAATAATGGAAGCACTTGGCTAGAGTGGCCGTGTTGTGTTTCCCAGTGCAGACTTGGAACAGTGACAGTAGATAACTCTTACCTCTCTACAAGAAATAGAAATAAGCAAATACTGTTTATGCCAGTAGTGTCTCTCAATCTTGGAACCCTTTCTTCCTTTTTTCTATTTCTTGTTTTCCTGTCTGTAACTAATGTACTCTCTTTCAAACTGCATATCTGAAAATACTTACTATTAAAGTACACACCATATGTAGAAAGATTAATTACAAGTCTCAGATTCTGATTGTACATGCATATGGCATTTAAAAAACACACACTAAAATTAAAAATTATGCCAGGAAAGGAGGGAAAATGTAATCATACAAAACACTCATTTAAAACCATAAAAGGCAGAAAAATAATAGAAGGAAAACAAATAGACGACAGTAACAAATATGGTAAATATTAATCCAACTATATCATTAATCACTTGAAATGTCAGTAGACTAAAAGTACCAATTAAAAGGCATTGTACGCATTGATCAAAAAATAAGACAATATACACTGTCTACAAGAAACTCACTTTAAGTGTAAATACACATGTAGATTAAATATGTAGAGATAGGTGTACCATGTTAACATTAATCAAGAAAAGGCAGGGGTAGCTATAGATAGAGCATACTTCAGAGCAAGGAAAGTTACCAGGGATAAAGAGAGACGTTACATATGATAAGGGATCAACTCTCCAAAAAAACATATATGGTTGATTTTAGGTGTCAGCTTTACTAGGTTAACAGATACCCAGATAGATGGTAAACAATTATTTCTGGGCATGTCTATGCAGATGTTTTCTGGAAGAGATTAGCATTTGAATGCGTAGTCTGAGTAAAGAAGATGTGCCCTCACGCGTGTAAGTGGGCATCATCCAATCTGTTGCGGGCCCCAGTAGAACAGAAAGGTAGAGAAAAGACAATTTACTCTCTCTTCTGGAGCTCGGACATCCATTTTCTTCTCCCCTTCCATTTTCTTCTTCAGAACTCTAGGTTCTTGGGCTTTTGGACTCTAGAATTTACACCAGTGGCCCTTCAGGTTCTCAGGGCCTTTAGCCTTGGACTGAGTTACACCATCGGCTCCCCTAGTTCTCAGGCCTTTGGACTCAGACTGAATTATAGCACTGGCTTCACTGATTCTCCAGCTTATGAGACTTATTACTTCTATAACTGCATAAGCCAATTTCCACTAAAAATCATATATATATGCACACATGTATGTGTATATGTATCTATATCCATACATCTTCTATTGGTTCTGTCTCTCTGGAGTGCTCTACTACAGGTAACAATCTTTAATGTGTATGCACCATTAGAGCACTTAAACATATGAGGCAAAAACTGACAGAATTGCAAGAAAAAATAGAAGAATCCACTAATATAATTGGAGATTTCACCCCTCCATCATAAATAGACCCAGCAGGCAGAAAATCAGTATAGACATAATTTAACTCAACAAAACAATGAATCAAATGGATATGATGAACATCAGTAGACTGCTACATCCAACGGCAGTAGAACACACATTCTTCTCAAGCTCAGATGGAACACTCACCAAGATAAATTATATTCTGGACCAGTTTAAAAGACTAGAAATCATATGTCTACTTTGGAATTAAACTAGAAGTCAGTAACAGAAAGATTGCTGGAAAATCCCTAGTACTTGGAGATTAAACAGCATTTCTAAGTAACTCTGGGTCAAAGAAGAAATCTCAAGATAAATTTTTTAATATTTTGAACTAAATAAAATGCAAATACAACTTATCAAAATTTGTAGGATGCAATTAAAGAAGGTTATTTTTCTATTCACCTATCAAAGGACATCTTGTTTGCTTCCAAGTTTTGCCAGTTATGAATAAACCTCTATGAACATTCACATACAGGTTTCTGTGTGGACCTAAGTGTTCAACTCCTATGGGTCAATACCAAAGGAATGTGTAAGAAACTGCAAAACTGTTTTTCCAAAGTGGCTGTATGACTCTGTCACCCGGGCTGGAGTGCAGTGGCATGATTTCAGCTCACTGCAACCTCTCCCTCCCAGGTTCAAGCAATTCTCCTGCCTCAGCTTCCTGAGTAGCTGGGATCATAGGTGCGTTCCACTGGGTCCCGCTAATTTTGTATTTTTAGTAGAGATGGGGGTTTCACCATGTTGGCCAAGCTAATCTTGAACTCCTGACCACAGGTGATCTACCCCAGCAGGCCTCCCAAAGTGCTGGGATTACAGGTATAAGTCACTGTGCCCGGCCAATTTTATTATTTTATTTCAATAACTCAGTAGCTCAACTTTGAGATTTTGCCCTAAGAGAAGAGCTCATGTATATCCTGGCAAGAGAAATTGTGATTTCAGAAATAAAAGTAACTCACTATAAATTTTTGGTGTTTTTTTAAGTTTAACCTTCTGGAAAAAAAGTTTTTAGTATTCATTCATTCATTCATTCAACAATGAATTCTGTGGTTTCTTTTTATATTTCTACTTTTTTTTTTTTTTTCAGATAGGGTCTTGCTCTGTTGCCAGGCTAGAGTGCAGTGGTGTGATCACACCTCACTACAGACTTGAACTCCTGGGAGGCACACACCACCCATGCCCAGCTAACTTTTTTAATATATTTGTGTATAGATGGGGTCTCACCATGTTGCCCAGACTGATAGCGAACTGCTGGCCCCAAGCGATCCTCCTGCCTTAGCCTCCCAAAGTGCTGGGATTACAGGCATGAGCCAGCATGCCTGGCCTTCTTTTTACTTTTCTTAATGTGGCTTCTAGAAATTTTGAATTAAATAACGTGGCTTGTATTTGTGCTTTGCATTATATTTCTATTGGACAATTCTCTAAGGATTGCACTTATTTTCCATAATTTAAGATATAATTTCATTAAGTCAAAGTTCTTATTAGAAATATTATTACTTGATCTTTTAAAAATAAATAAATGATGCACACTGTTAACATAGTCCTGTTACTGAAATTTGAATACAGGTGTGAGTTTGTAGTAACCTACTAAGACCAAAATCATTTGATTTTTTTTTTTTTTTTTCTTCCATGTCTCTCCTGTCTGAACTTCGGTGACTCTTCACAAAATAGTACGGTAAGAAAATTATTTCCAGCCATTTCAGGCTTTTGCAGACTTTCTGCATTAACAGAGTTATGGACAACAGACTTAGTGTCCTTTGCTTGTGACAGCCTCCCTAGCTGCCATTGCTGGTAAGTTGTAAAGGGTGACCACTGCACCCTAGCCTGTCCTAGGAAGCCCCACATGAGCTCTGTGAGAGCCATGCTGCTGGGGCTGCTCCCTACTCCTGTTTTTAGAAACAAGCATATAATTACTTCATTGATAAGTCGCTGTGGAGCTGGCAACCAATGAAAGGGAAAGAGACAAATAAAGGAGGAAAAGAAGAGTGGGATGATTTTTTTTTCTGGTAGGGTGGAGTTCATTTCCATGGCTTGATTTTCACACAGGAGATGGTGTTGCATAATTTTGTTTGAACTTTCTTTTCAGCACTATTAAGAATTATAATGAAGTAAAATTTTTCCATTTAATCCATGCTAATTTATCTTTTTGAATATTACTAATGAGGTTCCTTATTTTTCTCAAAATTGACTGCTGAAGGCCAGATGCAGTGGCTCACGCCTGTAATCCTAGCACTTTTGGAGGTCAAGGCGGGTAGAACACGAGGTCAGGAGTTCCAAGACCAGCCTGGCCAAGATAGTGAAACCCCATCTCTACTAAAAATACAAAAATTAGCTGGGCGTGGTGGCACGTGCCTGTAGTCCCAGCTACTCATGAGGCTGAGTCAGGGGAATCGCTTGAACCTGGGAGGCGAAGATCGCAGTGAGCCGAGATCGAGCCACTGCACTCCAACGTGGGGGACAGCAAGACTCTGTCTCAAAAAAAAAAAAAAAAAAAAATTGACTGCTGAATATCTGACAGAGCATAAATCAAATGTATTCTAAAAAAAAGGGAAGAGAGAAATAGAATCTTGTACTAGATAGAAAAGATGCATTATAATCTTTCCAAGGTTAGGTAGTGTTGAAATGATTTTTACCTTTTGTGTTCTTTTTAAGAAATATATTTTCAGTGTAGTTCAACACTTACAGTCACAAGTATATGTATAGTTCTTAACTTGGAGAATTCTGTTTCATATTACCTAACACCAGACTTAACTTTTAATACCATCACTTAGGAATCTCCCAGGGCTACTTTAGGTTTAGATTTATTCCATTATCTAGATCTTAGAACAAAAGTTCGGGATGCGGGTTAAAAAAAAAAAAGATTTATTTCATTGTCCCTTTCTACTTTAGCCCCACCTATGAAAGAAGACACATAAGACACCTGGTGGTAGAGAAACTGGTTTATATGCCCCTCTTAGAATAACTCTTCAGGCTCTGTTACAGCCCTGGGTTCATGCATGATAAAGTAGACAGCAAGACCACCATACAGTGCAGAGGAGTGGAAAGAGAATAAACAGAAAAGGAGATGAAAATAGACCAAGTGGAGAAAGGCCTGGTCAAAAAAGGAAGATCACTATGGAACAATAGAGAGTTGAAAACCGAAGTGACACCCAATAAAGGACAGGTAGGAAAAAAGCAGGTAAGGGAGAGATAGATACTCTCCCTTACACAAGTGTGGGGAATAAGGAAAAAAGAAAACTGGCTATACCTTACCTAAATATAAGAAGCTAAAGGTCATTATTAATAGAATTCTCTGTAGCAGTGCCACTTCTCTTCTCCAACTTGTAATTTTTTTTTTGAGATGGAGTCTCGCTCTGCTCTGTTGCCCAGGCTGGAGCGCAGTGGCGCAATCTCGGCTCACTGCCACTTCCCAGGTTCAAGCAACTCTCTGCCTCAGTATCCCGAGTAGCTGGGATTACAGGCACCCTGCCATCATGCCCAGCTAATTTTTGGATTTTTAGTAGAGACAGAGTTTCACCATGTAGGCCAGGCTGGTCTTGAACTCCTGACCTCATGATCGACCTGCCTCAGCCTCCCAAAATGCTGGAATTGCAGGTATGATACACTGCGCCCAGCCCAACTTGCCACTTTTAAAGAAATATTTCCAGTAAAGCTGTGCTGTTCAATTTAAGAGCCATTAGCCACCTTGTCTAAATGTAAAAAATTAAATGAAATTTGCAGCAGTATCTTAGATAATATCCAGTCTGAATACAAGAAGACTAATTAGCCAGCCTACAATCTCAAGATTCTTTAAACCAACTGTGTCTAATTTACAAAGTTTACAACTCACATGTTAAACCCTGAAATAGTTATCATGATGGCCATATGGGAACTTTGACTTTTTATAGTTATTTAAATGACCTTGTGGCTTACATGTAAGCATGTTAAGTAAACATTTTAAAATATACTATCATGCCAAATCTAATTCCATTTTATTTTTCTTGTATTTCCCTTGGTTTACCACTTTTTAGGGAATTTTTGGATTTTAACCCCTCGTCAATAATAGAAGGAAAGTCTAGAAATGTATTTAGCAGTCTGAATTTAACCTAAACATTATGATAGGCAGAAGTCAAGCAAAGACTGTTTTTACTCTTGTTTGGATAACTAAAAGGGGTGTTTCGCCAACAATATGTAGTTTCTGTCAGATTTTAAAATATTATTTGCAAATTCTAAACTAATGAAACAATTTTTAATTTAATGAACAAAAAAGCCACAAGCCTTATTTTATTTCAGCCTCTAACATTAAATTGATGTGGCTGCTGTCGAACACAGACAACTTCACTCTGGTATCCTCGGATGAGTGTAGTTGTGGAATAAAAAACGATTGGGTCATTTCTTTAATATTAATTTAAGTTTTTGCTATTATGTCGAAAGTACTTTCCAATCTTCATTTCTTAGTGTCTCGGGTCCTGGGTGTAGATTTCTAAGTTCTTTGATCTTAGGATTGCTCATATGAGCTGAAAAACAGTTTGTTCTCTGGTTAAGTTCCTTTCTTCAGAAAAAGTATCCAATTTAGGGTCTGCATTTTAAGAACTATTGACAAATAATGAAAAATTGGGAAAAGAAGTTGGAGAATAGTTCTAACATGGTTTGAATTATAGCAAGGATTAACTGTGTAAGAAGATAGTCTTATTTTTATTTTTAAATTCTCTGAATGAGACGATCAGTGATGACTTGGTTGTAGTGTGAAAACAAGTAGGGACCTTGGGAAGCTGCCAAAGGCTTTCTAGCTCTGGGTTCACCTGTGAACCGCTGATTCCTACAGGAACACTGGACATTCCAATGCCTAAATGTTAACCATCAATTAACCCAGTAAACCTGCAAGATGGAAATGAAGATTTGTTTTAATGTGTTTCACTGGATTCTTTAAAGTAAGGGAAATTTCAGCTGTTTATAGTTCTGTCTTAAATTTTTCCTCTCTTCCTTCTTTTCCTCTCATTTTTTGTAGCACTTCTGGGGCCCAGTAGCCAACTGGGGTCTTCCCATTGCTGCCATCAATGACATGAAAAAGTCTCCAGAGATTATCAGTGGACGCATGACATTTGGTAAGGATGCAGATTTGGATAATTGGGAGGGCATTAAATACAGTAGATCTCCTGCTTGCATTTCAAGATTATAACACCACATGTTACAGTCACTATTAGAAAGTCACATATGGAATGTGGTGGCGTGCAAGAGTGTTTAGAAATATTTATCTAGGAAGTAGTAACATCTTATTTGCCTTTCATATTTAGCATACCCAGTTGAAGAATGTGTCATCTTAATCATTCTAATAGCCAGCCTAATGATATATCATTAAACTTACTTGATATAAACTTACTTCCTGATATTTGAACATAAAGCTATTGTGGAGGGAATAAATAGTAAGCCTTTCAGATAATGAATGGATTATAAGCAACTCTGAGAGACAAAAAAAGGTGGCTGGAACAAATTTCAGCCTACTCTTGCTCTGAAATATGTTCCTTAAATGTTTAAATCATGATCACAAAAATGCGTAGCAGTACAGTAAAAATTTTTATGAGCTTCCATTTAAATAATAACAACTTATGTTACCTGTCAGAGGCTTTAGCAGAAGGGGTTCTTTTTTGATCAAGGCAATGGAACTGTTCATCTCTGTGGTCCTATCAACCCTCTCAGTTTTCTAAGTTATTGATTCTCTTTGCTTTGATATTTTTGGCAGCCCTCTGTTGCTATTCTTTGACATTCATGAGATTTGCCTACAAGGTACAGCCTCGGAACTGGCTTCTGTTTGCATGCCACGCAACAAATGAAGTAGCCCAGCTCATCCAGGGAGGGCGGCTTATCAAACATGAGTAAGCAGATTTCAACTGAGTTATTTTCTTTTGAGGAACTGGGGAGAATCAAACTAACATCTTGTCTGAGGGGGTACTGGAGGACTGGAGTGTGTACAGATGTGCTTTAGCAGTTGGGGAAGCCACTTACTAAAACATGAAAGTTAACATGAAGTAGGATACAGGCCGAGCATCCCAAATCTGAAAATCTGAAATGTTTAGAATGCTAACATGACACTGCTCACTGGAGCATTTTGGACTTTGGATTTTCAGATTAGGGATGCTCAACTGGTATAATGCAGTTATTCCAAAATCTGAAACATGCCTGGGCCTAAGCATTTCGGGTAAGGGATACCCAACCTATATTACTGCTTTTGTAAGTTGAAATAAATGTTATGCAAAGGTGTCTTTCTAAAGCCATCCAAAGCCCTTGAGACTAGCATTGAAATTTTGTTTCTCATTAATTTTTCTTTTTGTTTTTTTCCAGGATGAGTAAAAAGGCATCTGCATAACAACGGAAAATGAAGAGCAAACTCTTGAAGGGACAGCATTGCCAGCTGCTGCTGAGTCACAGATTTCATTATAAATAGCCTCACTAAGGAAAATATGCTGAATGCTATTTTTACTAGCCATTCTATTTTTATAGAAATAGCTGAGAGTCTCTTAACCAACTCTCTGCTGCCTTACAAGTACTAAATATTTTACTTCTTTCCATAAAGAGTAGCTCAAAATATGCAATTTAATAATTTCTGATGATGGTTTTATCTGCAGTAACATGTATATTATCTATTAGAATTTACTTAATGAAAAACTGAAGAGAACAAAATTTGTAACTACTAGTACTTAAGTACTCCTACTTCTTGACATTGTCTTTAATGACCACAAGACAACCAACAGCTGGCCACATACCTAAAATCTCTTTCCCACTGTTTAAAAATGTTATCTGTGTATTTCCATGCAGTGTGTATATTGAGATGCTGTAACTTAAGGCAATAAAAGATTTAAATATTTGTTAAATGAGCATGATTAAATATCTTGCTGCGTTCCCTAGGAAACTGAAGAACAATGTATCTGAAAAGACAATTATAGGTGAAAATGGAACTCCTTGAAAACTATGAAGATGGCTGGAGGAAATGCAGAGCTGGAAGGCCAGTGTTTTCTGGAAAGCATCGACAGTCCAACTATGCCGAACCTATTCTTACGGGCAAGTGTTACTAACAGAAACGCCCCTCAGTCACTGAGACTCAGGCCAGTCATGTGAGTGTTCTGGGCTTCTCTTTCCCCATCTGTAAAATGTTGCAGAGGCGATTTCTGTGGTGATCTAAGAATTGTGCTGCTTTCCACAGAAAGCTGTTGAGATTGCAGTCCCACAGGAATGGGCTGATCATGGGGCCCAGCGCGGCACTGGTGCTCAGTTGAAGGAACCAACTTCCAAGGGAGGGATGAAGCTGTTAACTAGGAGCTGCTCCAGAGGTCTGACCGAATGACTGAAAGCATCCTAAGAGCACAGTCCTGACTTATTTCACATTATGCAGTTAAGTTAGCTTTTTAAAAAAATGCAGCCGAGTGTGTTGGCTCACACCTCTAATCGCAGCACTTTGTGAGGCCAAGGCAGGCAGATCACTTGAAGTCAGGAGTTCGAGACCAGCCTGGCCAACATGCTGAAGCCCCATCTCTACTAAAAGTGCAAAAATTAGCCAGGTGTGGTGGCAGGTGCCTGTAATCCCAGGTCCTTGGGAGGCTTAGGCAGGAGAAGGGCTTGAACCCAAGAGGTGGAGGTTGCAGTGAGCCGAGATTGCACCATTGCGCTCCAGCCTGGGGGACAAGAGGAAGACTTGTCTAAAAAAAAAAGTCCAACTTGAATCTGAATAGTTTCCTTCTCTGTATTGTAGCCGATGAGAGCAGCAGAGCAGCCCACGCTGAGCAGAGGGGGGGTCCGTGAGGCACAGTCTCCCTCAGGAGTCTATATTCTGTCACTTTTGGGGGTTTTTTGTGACAGGGTTTAACTCTGTGGCCCAGGTTGGAGTGCAGTGGCGCAATCACAGCTCACTACAACCTCCACCTTCTGGGTTCAGGTGATTCTCCTGCCTCAGCCTCCCAAGTGGCTGGGATTACAGGTGTGCGCCACCACATCCGGCTAATTTTTTTATTTCTTTTTTTTAGACGGAGCCTTGCTCTTGCCAGGCTGGAGGGCAGTGGCTCAATCTCAGCTCACTACAAC